ACAACTTGCGAATTTAAAACTATAGAGGATTTTTTAGATTACTTAGGGCACAATTTTAGTGATTGTAGATCCATTAAGCAATTGACAAACGAATTACATAAAACTAAAATTGGTCATAAGGAGCATACACTTAATTTCATAAAACGCCTCGAAAAGAATAGAATGCTAATAATATCTAGACTTAAAATTGAAAATACCGCTGATCGTGATGTTACTATTAATTTTCTTGAAAAAAAGATTCTGTACATTTTTCATACAAATATGCCCCTCCATATCAGAACATATCTAATGACCAAATCAGACAAATTGAAAAATCTTGATGACTTAAGGCACCTTATGCAAAATGAATACCATTTTTTATTTGATGACTTGATATATAATGATTCGAGGCATAGTGAAAGCTCAAAACAACAATATAACCATTATCAGATAACTTCTTACAATGAGAATAATCGGAAAATTTTCACAACACACACTAAACTTTACATTGACACCCAAGACAAGACTGCCTCAATTCAAACACCAGAAAAACACCCATTAACTTTTGAAACTGAGAAAGATATATTATCCGCTACGGATTTAAATCAGCATAAAATATTTCCCTATCTGAAAATAAAAACAGTATTATATTATAAAAAAATTAAACAATTTCATAAATCCAAGAAAAATATTATAGGCAAGAATCTTAACATTAATTTAATTATTAGTATTCTACCTTTGAATGAAAACACATCTTCGGATAAAAATAAAAGTAGTTTAATTTCAAGTAAAGATTTACTGGAAATCTCGTATTGCCAAGAAAAACTTAAGAATTATATTTTAGATCGTCAATGGCCAAAACAAAGGTTCCGACAAAAAAATTATATTATACTTAGAGAGTCTGTCGCAAATATCGGAAATATTATTGATAGTAAAAATTGTGTACTATTAAACAGTAGGGAGATAAAAAGTTCTTCGGCTCAAAGATCACACAAAAATAAAGAATATTTTAATGCTAAGAAACGGTTTAGGAAAAATGACAAACAAATTGGAAACAATTTTAACATTAGAGACGTTTCAAAAAAATTAAAATCCAAAATAAAATATACTAATAGATGGCCTCCTGATGATAAACAAATTTACTTATGTATTTCGAAGCCAGATGAATACAAAATTCAATAATCGGTGGTCCAAGATTTGGTTAATGACAATTTCAAAATCTCTTGTTTGGCTTTTAAATTGTACTACAATAAATACAAAATTATATATATATATATATATATATATATATATATATATATATATATATATATATATATATATATATATTTTAAATATAATCTTGAGTTATAATAAATAAAAATTGCAAATATATAAATAAATACTAATTAGTTATAAGCATAAATAATATTTATAAATATAAATTCAATTCGAAAAAAATAAATAACACGTGAATATAAAAATAAATAACTAATATTAAAGATATACAATTATTGATAATAAACATAATAATGAAAAACATTAAATTTATTTAATTTTAATAAATTAAATTCCAAAAAGAAAAAGAGGAATGTTAACGATATATTACAAAGGGGAATGATGACATATTTTAATATGGCTTGTTTATGTTTAAATAATTGTTAGAATCTAGTGATCTTCACAAAATATATTTGAGTTGCTTGGAATGATTTTATGTTGTATTTCACTGTTATATACTGTGTAAAAAAGGTTATATATTGAAAGTATTAATTTTCATTTAAAGTTTTATTATAATAGATTAAGTATTTCTAATAATAGTTACTAATGAATTTGTACATAATGACATCGTTATCAGTAGTAATTGTAATAATAAAAATTGTAAATTATTGGAAATATTATTAATTAATTAAATTATATATCTTTTATATATATAAAAATAAAGTCATGTAAATTTCATCTTTTAAGTAATGAATGTTATTTTATTTAAGAAAATTTAAGGATCAAATTTATAAATCTAAAAAAATATTTATTTATATCATGATAACTAATCGGAAACTATATAATCTTAAATATCTATTTTTTGTATAGAGTCATTTTATTTTAATACTATTTACAGAAATAATGTATTATTGTATACTACTATAAGGATTTTATATTATTAGCTGTTTTAGGTAATGTTATAATACTGAGTGTTATTGAAAGCAAAAATGTAACTGTTCCCAATCCTATGGAACCAATCCTCCATATACCCAGACTTTCCTTTAAAATACTAAAGAAGACCAAAGACATATTCTCACTGACATACTTAAACATTGCACTCCGAGGCTTCGTGCTTAAGGGAGAGAGTAGTTACGGAATGGACTTAATCCGTAACAAATAATAATAATGATAATATTAATTTAAATTTTATTTTATTTTATATGCCTATCGGTGAATCATGCAGTGACCTTTCTCGTGACTTTTATCAAAGCATAAAAGCACAAAGCCCTAGATAGAAAGGTCAAGCTATCTCTGATAGCTTAGAAATAGTTATCTAGAATGTACCGACTGGACACAAGACCCTTTATCAAGACTTAAGGAACAGTAACAGCTTTCAGCAAAAGGTCGCTGTCTCACAGACTTCATATCAATTCTAAAAGATAAGACCATCCAGAATTGATTCCCTCCCCCTACTATTCCTGAATATATAAACCCCATGATCCTCAGACCAAATCACTCATGTAGTTAATTCTCTTGAAGTCATACTCTTTACTGTAGGAGACCGGGAATGAACTCGTGTAGTCAACCCATATATCCATAGTATATTATTCTGTATTTTAGATGTCATTTATAATATTATGAATAAAACCATTATTTATAAATTCTCCACTGCCTCCGATTCGTTAACTGGAGTAAGATAAGAACGGCAAGGGAATTAACGGCAACTTGGGCTACCCAAACGAGCACCAATTTATCACATATTAATTGTTAATAAATCGCGACTCACCTGTGTATCCGTGAACGTAAAAATGTTCAATTTTTATAAAGTCGCTGTTGATAAATTATTACCACAGGGTTCTAACTATTAAGCACATGTCAAAGTAACAATCACAGAACGACATAAACGTTATACTATAGTTGCGGCCATCATCTTCTAACTTAAATCGATTAAAAAGGAAAATAAATAAATTAAAGGACAATAAAATGAAAATAAAGTACTAATAAATATACATATTTACAGAAATTTCTATTTACAATTTTATAGAGATTGGATGGAAAGGAAGTGATTGAATAGGCGGGATTTAAAAGTAGGGAGAGTATTGGATCGACGGATGTCAGGAGGGATGAAGTTCCATAGGGATGAAGATCGAATAATTCGAATATTTATCGAAAGCAGCTGTTCGGTGGACCATTATATATAAATGTGAAGACCGGGGGCGGATCCCAATTGCTGGAGTGAGCAGAGGATTTAAATTGAAGGACCTCGGAGATGTATGAAGGACAGCGGGTGAATGATTTGAAAAGGAAGAATGCCAGGAAATACGGCGGTGTGGAAATATTAAGGAAGTGACCAGAAGCACTAGCGGATCCAGCTGGGGGGCGCGCGCCCTCATCCTCCTGGAGACTGGGAAATTTTTTTTAAAAATTTCCAAAAAGCAGCTACTTAAAGAAAAGGAAAATATTTGGAAAATTCATCCTCATAAACGATGGATTTCCTAATGTAATTCAGCTCTTCGTAGACTTGAAGGGTGGCTGTGACAGTGTGTGGCGAGAAACATTATATATGGAAATGGAAAATTAATGTATATAATTCGTAATATATGAAAATATACCCATAGATAAAAATCATAATACAGAATTAAAAAAAAACTTAATACATAAAAACCAAAACATCACAGTCGTGCTGTCGCCAAGTTCAGATTGTGGTGTGTTCTTTTTTAAGTTGGGTTATCCTTGTAGTTCGCATTAACTACAACCCCTTGTGTAGCTTCCGCCGTCTCCAGTTCCAGAGCAAATAAGCTTACTATTTTTCTTATTCATTTTATTAAATTATAAATTTTTCTTAAATTATTTACTTAATATCTTACTATATGTTTATTTAAATAATCTTCGTAATATTCATAATTTGTTGGCTTTTATTTTCTATTATATTTCATTTACTACTTTTTTTTTCCTTACTATCATTTATCATACATTTTTTACTTTATCTATTATTTATCAATTTTCAACTACTATATTTGTATTATAATATGGAGGTGCATCCTGATCCTCTCCCGATCTATCTACCTTCCAAACCAAAAAAAGAAAATGAGCTCATTCTAAAATTAAATTCGCAAAGCATTGATACAACTCCAACATATCTTGTTGTTAAAAGATCCGATCAAGATGATTTTGAAAAAATCTCTTCATTTTTTATCCAAAAGGTGATCGAACAGTTAGCAGATGGTGTTAAATCAGTAAACAAATCAAGAGACGGATTTTTATTGATACAAACACTTAATGGACAACAATCGAAAATACTTTTATCAGTTACGGACGTTGGAGTAGAAAAGTTGCCTAAACAATCGTTTTATACCTACCAACGGACAGACTACATTTTACCTTGGTTGTGGCTACTTTTTAGTCCAGTAATTATTGAAATATGATGGGGAACAAGTCTCTCTTTCTGTAAGATAAATGTTACCTTCCTATTATTATAATAGTAGTATATTTATAAACTGGGTTAAGATTAGGTGACCTTAAACCTTTCCTGTCACTGGCTTTCTAAATCACACTACACCACAATACAAATTTCCGAATTATTTTTTTCTTTTCTTAATTTTTTTTTTTTTTTTGCGTATCTTGGATTGGGGCTTCAAACAACCCAACGCGTTGTGTGAGATTTTTTTGTTTTGAGGAAGTGGTACGTCTGGATTTTAGAGTAAAACACTGGACATATGTATTTTTCTTGATAGGAATGTATTTATTATTTTTATGTTGGTCTATTTATAATTATATTTATAGCTTCTTGATCTAATTTTATAACAACATTTTTTATTATCTCATAAAATGTAATTTTTTAGGTTAGATCAGTTAGAGTCTTCGTTGCAGGATCAACAACCTACACAAGAAGATTTCCGATCAAGCAAGTCTCCTACGGGACCACGCTTTTCTCTTCCGGATAACTTTGGACGCCAATCTATGAGTATGAATTTAAATTAAACATTTAATCAACTCTTACTTATTAATATGATTTAGAAAATTATTTTTTTTCTTCAGGACTTGGAGGGACTTTCAGTGAATCTCCATCCCCTTCTGGTATAGAAAAAGGATTTTTTCAACAGGGTGAAGCATTTAGTTCTGAATCACGGAGTGAAAGAGTAGAAGATGATACCTACCCGGATGTTATAGAATCTGAACAGGATTTTGCAGATGAAATGGCACAGTTTGAAGCTCAAATAGGTGCTGGATGGTCGGATAAGAGTGATAGTTCTCTGGACTTTGAAAATGCTCAAGAGCTATCGTTTGCTGACCAATTTTTACTCCCTACTGCAGATATCCAATTCGATGAAGCTGCTCAAGAATCAGCTAATCCATTCGGCGGATATGATGATTCAGACGATGATTGGGTTGCGCCTCCAGAAATCGTTCCTTGTGAAGCTGAACAAGTCGTTCCTTTACCGATGACGGATCCAGAATCTGAAAATAGGAGAGCTGGGAAACTTTTCTTACCACAGCCACAGCAGGCGGAAGTTGCGACAGATCTTGAAAGAATCAGTTGGCCAGATCGGACGCATCTTTATGATATCAATACAGATTTTCCAGAAACTGATAGGCCATTCGACTTCTTGGATTATGACCAGATAAGGAATATAGAAGATATGCAAGGTACTTGTGAAGAAATGCCTGAGGAAGATGAAAGGTGGTTAAACTTGGCTGATATAGCGGATCAACTCGGACAAAAGTGACACCACAAAATCTAATATGAATAAAAACATGTCCAAGATTTATTTTTTTAAATTTCAATCTTAAACTCAAAATTATATATTTTTAATTTATTACATCTTTATTTCAATTATAAAAATGCAATTTATTAATTTGGCGCGAACAGAATGAATTCTTAGTTTTAATGTACTTTTAAACGGACGGCTACAACACCTGTATATAACTATGTAGCAGCTATACAAACGTAAGGTGGCGTTAGAAGTAGAGATTAATTTGGCATGGCTCTATGAATTATATTGACATACATTCCTATCTATATATTAGGAATATTTTATACATTTATTGAATTAACATACTTTAAATTAAGACTAGGCTGTGAGAGTCGACAGCCCTATGGTAAAGTTACATTTTAAAGTTTTTGTCACTAGCAAGGAAGGATATATCAAACTCTTTCAATGAAAATGGGATTTATTTATTGCAATGGGAAATAAAATAATTTGTTTTACCACCTAAATGTCACTTAAGTGATAGCAGGAAAGTGACAAAAATTAACAAAAGACCTTAAATACAATCTCGTTATAATGAATCCGATTGATAAATTACTTGTCAATATTTAATCAATTACTTATAATCCAAAATAATTTGATAAAGAGTGTATGATTTAAAAATTATAATTTTATATAAAAAAAAAGAACATGATCACAACAGTTTCAAATCGAGAAACCACCGCTCAGCAAGGTCAGTGTCGTCTCATCAATACAATCATCGACGGAGCCCAACTAATTTGACACTTAAGTAACTTTTATATTCGATCCCTTTCTCTCAAAAATATAAAAAGAAAAAAATAAGTTTTTACTATCATAATTTATTATTAATAGAACGTTTTAAAGTGGACATTTTTTATTTTTTATTTTATTTTATTTTTTTTTTTTTTTTTTTTTTTTTACTATTGAACTACTGAACTGAATTTTTTCTTTTTTTTAAAAGTATTTAATGATCCTATATTTTGTAATTTATTTTATATAATAGGTTTGATAATGTGATGTGGATAGGTTTGTATATTGTTTTTTTTTAGATTATAACTACTTAAATTTTTATCTTTTGATTTTTAACTGATTTAGGCAATTACTATTTTTATTGTTTTATTTATTTATTCTTTTAGATTCTAACGTTTTAACAGTTAATTGATTTTACATTTTAACTCATTTTAGGAAATTATTTTATAGATTTTAACCTTTTTAGATTTTAACCTTTTTAGACTTTGACTTTTTAACTTTTTAACTTTCTTAGATTTTAACTTTTTTAGATTTTAACTTTCACTTATTTTTAACTTGTACTTAAATTTTAACTTTAAACTTTTTACTGATTTTATATTGTAACTTATTTATAAGCAATTTATTTGATAGATGTATATTTTTTTTTTAAGCTTTTATCGATTTTATATTTTAACTATAACACTATTTAACACTTAATTTTATAGTTTTTAACTTTGTATTTATTTATTTATTTAATTATGCACAGATTGTTTCAATCATGCGCGTGGTGGGCATAGTCTAGAACGAAAAAAAAAAATATTGCAATGAACAAAATACCAACGAAGAAGATCGAAGTTGGACAAAAGGTATGGGTTCTGAGAACTGGAGGACCTGTTCAAGAGGCGGTTGTTGCCTCTGTGATGTCTGTGGCTACTGCAGGAGGCGGAGATAATAAATTTGTTAAAGTGGAATGGCCTGACACAGAAGGTGTGGTATTGGGAAAGACGGTGTCGATAGATGATGTCTTTCCCAGATTGCCAAATGATCCGCTGAATGTCGCAGAGGTACTTAGTGAGCGGCAAAATGAAGCTCTACGCCCTGATGATAAAGTTTGTCCGATATGCGGGCTTTCTTTTAAGGGCGAACGAGGTCTCGGAACCCACATTGCAAAAAAACATCCCAGGGAGGCGAATAATAATACATTGAGGGGCATAGTAAAGAACGTGATAGGTCCTAGAAATGGAGAGGGTGAGTCATCAAAAATAAAAGAGGACATTGTTGAATGGTCTACTACGTTCAAGAACCTTTTAAAGCAAGAAATGGTGAATACTGCGGATTTTGATGAGGCCGTAGGCAAGTTCCTAAAGTTCCTCAAAGTCATTAATGCGGAACTGCCAGGTCCCCAGCACCCAGCCGTAAAATTTTATAGGATGAGGAAAAAAAATAAAATGAAAATGGCTGACAAGGGTGCTGGACAAGTCTCAAATCCGCAGAGGGCAAACAAAGTAGACAGGAGTCGTCGGCAAGAGCAGTATCAGTACGAGGTTGCCCAATATAATTATTATAATAAAAGAAAAAAGGTTGTGCAAACTGTAATGAATGCCGACGCTCCTAAACGGTGTCCTCTAAAAATGGCCGATATCGAGAGGCATTATAAAGACCTCTTTGAGAACGAAAATCTCTGCGGGCGTGCGGATTACGAACAGTGTACCCCGATGCCGGATTTGCTGTCCATTGAGATAGAAGCTATCAGGAAAGCCATTAAATCAACATCAATGGACACATCGCCGGGGCCTGATGGAGTTCTGATCCGCACAATAAAATATTTTGAGGTATCAAGCATTATTAAAACGATTGCAGAGATAATGCTGAAGGTGGCCTATGTTCCGGAACCACTTCGACAAGGGCGCACAATATTGATATATAAGGGCAAAGGTGATATAAACAATATCTCTACCTGGAGACCGATCACCATATACTCGATTGTGCGCCGAATCATAGAGAAGGTTCTGGACTACGAGTTAAGAAAGCAGGTCACCTTCCACAAGAGTCAGAGAGGCTTTATAAAAGGCCTCCCGGGAACGCACGTCAACGCGAGGATCATCGACGCGGTATTAAAAGATGCACAAAAAATGAAAAATGACTGTGCGATAGTTTTCCTCGACGTTGTCGGTGCTTTTGACAATGTTGGGCACAAACACATCGTAAGCTCCTTAGAAGCGAGAGGTGTGTCACCGAATCTTACAAATGTCATATCAGCTCTCCTTAGCACGAACACCATAAAGATTGGCAACGGTGTCCATGCAACTAGCCAGATCAAAGTGCTGCGCGGTGTACCCCAAGGTGGCCCCCTGTCGTCTTCACTCTTCAACCTGGCCATCGATCATCTCTACCGCGACCTGTGTGACGAGGACTTTTCCAAGAAATTTGGATACAAATTAAGGAATGAGCAAGATTGTGTGGTCCTCACAGGTTTCGCGGATGACCAGGCAGTGTCGGCGCGTGACAAGGGGGCTGCAGAAAGAGTGATTGACAGCATACAAAGAACATTTAAAGAAATTGGTCTGGCTATAAATCCTCTAAAAAGTATGGGCATCGTTATAAATAAAGGAGAGCTGGAAACTACGGTGCTCTCCCTTGAGAATGGTGAGTACATCCAAACATTGAAGAATGGAGATACGATTAAGTATTTAGGATGTACATTCTCGGGAGAGCTGCAATTCAACGAAGATTCGGTGACTAAATTGAATGATAATCTAAACAAGCTGGTAACCTCTTGCTTACTTAAACCTGAGCAGAAACTCAACATTGTCAATCAATATCTGTTCCCGGGTCTTACTTACCCTCTCCAAACTGCGCCCCTAACAAAGCTACGTCCTGCTATACTGGAGGGCATCGACACTATGATTCGCAGGAGCGTAAAGGCCATTATTGGACTGCCTGCGAATACTTCCACAGCGATGTTGTATGCCCCCAGGAGATACCGAGGATTGGGATTAATCCGCTGCCAATGGGAGGCTCCTCTTCAACATTGGTCCATTGCTCAGCGACTGTCCAATGTACCAGATGCCCTTTTTCAGTCTACCTTCGATTATTCGGCTGAAATTGCTGAATGTGCCGAGAGATTGGGGGTTGATCAGGGTCATCGAAATGTGAAAGCTCTACGGCAGTCGCTACGAGAAAATGCATTTGAGGAATGGGCCAACTGCAGGTGGCAGGGTATTGGTGTTCGCCATTTTAAAGAGACCCCGAAAGCGAATAGATACATCTACGAAAAGCAAGTACTTTCTGGGTCTGAATGGTCGAATGCCCTAAAACTAAACATTAATTATGCACCCCTGCGTGGAGTCCCAGGAGTCAGCGGACAGGTCAGAGAAGTTGGGTCCCTCTGCCGTAAATGCGGCAGAGAGTCTGAAACACCAGCACATGTGCTGGGAAAATGCCCCAACAACTCCCTCCTCATAACACGTCGTCACCACCGGGTCAAGTTCGAATTGATGAGGCTCCTTAGGGAAAAAAAATTCACCTGCTTTGACGAGGTATATTGCATCGATAGTGAGGGCTCTACGAGATACGCTGATATCGTCGCATTTCCCAAGACAGGAAGGACAGCGCTGATCTTGGATCCAACTGTCCGCTTTGAGAGCAATGACCTCGATCAGGCGGGTGAAGTGGAAAGGGAAAAGAAGAACACGTACGATAAATGTATCCCTTTCCTAAAAGAGAAATTCCGTGAGACCTTCGGAGAGAGAGAGTTCACCGTGAGAGGCCTCTGGTTTGGGTCTCGCGGAACTATCCCAAAAAGAACAAGGAGCTTCCTCGAGGAACTAGGTGTCGACATTAAGGACGTAGCGAGGTTGGCTGAAAATATAGTCCTCGACTCCCTGGGAATCATTCACCACCACGTGCATGGCTAGCCCGAGAGTTTTAATTTATGTATTTGTTTATTTATTTATTTAGTGAATAATTGAAAACAATAGCGATAAAGAGAGAGAAGTGAGAGAAAGGGAAACTTAATGTTAAATAAAAAAAAAAAAAAAAAAGCATGAACAATGAGAAGAAGGAAAAAGGAAAAAAAAAAAAAATTATAAAGATAAATAAAATAATAAAAATGTATATATATATATATTTCTGTTTTACTAATATTAACTAATACTTCTGTATATTTATATATAAGTTCATATATTGTCTTAAGGATAGAAGAGTATGCTGTGTGTATAGCAACCCAATGTAATTGGGCAGCAATCCTTTATATTTTATATTTTATGAAAATAAAGTGTTTCTCTCTCTACAATTCGGCACTGTATCCACAGTACCATACAGGTCACATG